GGACCCCGGGGATCCCGGCCAAACGGCCGCGGTGCGCCTGCCTGCGGCCCTAGGGCTGCGGCTGCGGCGTTGCCAGCCTCGGTGTCGGGTTGCAGGGTTGCCCTGGCGACGGGATGCGGCGCGGTACTCTTTGTGGTGGGAGCGGCTGGCGTCGCGCCGCCCACGCTTTGGGGAGGCGCCCCTGAGGTCGGCCTCCTGCGCCCCGGTTGTCCGGCCGGAGCTCCTGCTCAGTTGGGGAAGCTCCGGGCATCAGCGCGGGCCTGAGGACTGTGCACGGTGCCCTTTGTTGCCTGGTTTGGGTGCCAGGGGCCTCGCCTCCTCTAGATGCTTCACCCTGAGGAGCCACCGTACTGCTGCTGATGAGGCGTGCGGGCTCAGTTCTTAAATTCCGAACAAAACGGAGACCCGTGTAAACTTGGGAGCTGGGGAAGTTACTGTGTGTGGAAGACGTAGATGGAAATACAAAGAATGTCGATCTAGGAGAGGGTTCGCTGAGTTGCCGTTATGTTCTAGAAGGGTGAAAGCATTCCAGAATCCCGATCTGGGAAAGACTTGTATTTAGCAAGGTAAAAGATGTTAAAAGACTCCCTCTGAACTTTCCTCCGTCTTCAGTAATTTTAGGTGCTGGGCTAGACATTGGGAGATGTTCCACCACAATGACTTCAATTTCAAGGCAGCAAAACCTGCCTATTAAAGGGAAGAAAGCACCAGTATGTTGCAAAGTTACTGAACTTGTGAAGTACGGTCACAATTTTACGAGAACATTGACGGTTTTTAGATTTTTTTTTCAGCTGTTTTCTTTAAACAAATTTTTAATTGAATTTTTGTGTATTTCAAACATAAAATCATCTTTATACCTCCTTCCCCTTTGGCACCCTCCCATAGCCACCCCTCCCCCCACTGGACATTCTGTCCTTTGTATTAAGGCATATTATAGTTAGTGTCCTGAGACTTCCAAGATGTCCTTCAGTCCCTTAGTACAAATTCGGGGGCGGGGGTGAGAGGGTGTTAAGGCAGGTTGGGTTCAGTCAGCCTATCTAGAGTCCCTCCCTTCAAGAAGACAGTTCTTCCTCACCCAGTTGTATTCAGCTGCTAATAATTCTTCAACTATGGTTGGGGGTGGCTGTTCAACAGCTCTGTGCTGGGTTTTTGTCTGCCTAAGTTTGCATGGGTCTTGTACATACTGACACCATTGCTGTAGGTTAGTGTGAGAAGGGTCCCGGGGGCCTGTAGGACTGTTTGTGTATGGTCATGCTCCTCCTCCCTGGCTCTTACCTTTCTGCTCTCTCTTCCAAAATGATCCCTGAGCCCTACGTGGGTGGACCTCACTATAGGAGTCCTGTCCAAGGACCAACACTCTGCCAACTCTTTATTCTCTGGATTTTCGCCATTTGTAGCCTTTTGTGTTCCTGGCCCTCTGCTGCATGAGGGAGCTTTATTGATGAGGCTGTTTTCTTTAAAATGTTGGACTGTAAGGGTTAAAAGGAATAGGACAAAGTACAGAGTAGGCGCCCCATCATGAGACAGTATGTTTCCACATTGGAAGATACAGAATACCTACGTGTTATAAAGTGTGAGCTTAGAAGTTGTTGCACTTTTGCAAACATGTTCCCACCTGGTCTAATTGTATTTACTCCTGTTTATTTCTCCACCAGTTTGTGGGCTCTACTATTTTTATCCTTATTTCTTAGCTTTTATCACCATCTTAAAAGTTAAGGGTGGTATGCTGTGCTGATCACATGAATATGCTCACTTTGTGAGAATTCCTAAATCTGTATGTTTAGGATTTGTGTTCTTCATTAATGTATGTCATAATCCAGTAAATTTAAACCTTAAGATAATAATAGGAAGATAAAACATATTGAAATTGTGTTTTATTCACTGCTCAGAAATTTAAAGACTCATTTCTAGACTTTATTACTTATTATTCCATTAATACTCTTTTATTGTTGTGTTTCAACAATGAAAGGATTATAAGAATTCAGTGTTTTGGGAATCCAGATCCCAAATATTCAAAAATGGGCTAGGGGTGGTAACCCACACTTTTAATCTCAGCAATCCCCACACTTGGGAAGCAGAGACAAGTGGTTAACCATGAGTTCAGTTCAAAGCCTGCCTGTTCTACATGGAGAGTTCCAGGCCAGCCAGGGCTACATGATGAGACCATGTCCAAAAAAGTAATAAGGCATATTTAAAGAAGTATGATTAGCTATGTGCATTCATCTCAAATGTTTTTCATGTAGAACTCAAGTGATGACTGAATTGTGGAAGCCCATAAATTAGTAATTTGGACAACAAAAATTATGATAGTTAAGATATACACAACTTGATAAATAGTTAAGTAGAAACTAAAGTCATACTCTACACAATTATAAAAAAATTAAATTCACTTCATCCCTCAGTTACTTAAATCCTATACTTCTACACTTCACTTTTCAAAAAATAAGTGTGTAAATTATAAAAGTAATATAATAGGGGCTGGTGAGATGTCTCGGTGGTTAAGAACACTGTTCTTGCAGAAGACCCAGGTTCGAATCCTAGCACCCACATGGCAGCTAACAACTGTCTGTAACTCCAGTTCCAGGGGAACCGACAGCCTCTTCTGTCCTCCTTGGCACTGCATGACACGAGTGCAGTTACCTACATGCAGGCAATACACGCATACACATAAAAAAAATAAATAAAATAAAAAAAAATACTTTATTGGGGCTGGAGAGATGGCTTAGCAGTTCAGAGTATTGACTGCTCTTGCAGAAGACCTGGGTTCAAGTCCCAGCACCCACATGGTG